GAATTCACTATTCGACAAAAACTGCTAGGAAAACTTGAAAGCAGCGTGGCAGAAATTAGACTAATATCTCATACCATACATCACAGACAGGTACAATGGATATATGACTTAGAGTAAAAGGTGACTTTATACCCCGGCTAGAGAAGGAAAGGAGAAATTTTCTTTCACAGTTATGAAAAGAGAACAGTTCATGACCAAACAATGTCTAGAAGAGATCATAGAAGAGGAAATGGATAATTTTGATTACATAAAATTTAAAAGGTTTTACACAAATACACACACACTCAAAACAAACAAACAAAAACAAATGCAGCTAACATTAGAAGTGAAGCAGGAAATTGGGGGAAATCATTACAAGTTTCTCTGATAAAAGTTCTCATTTTCAAGATATGCAAAGAAATGATTCAAATTTTCAAATTTATAATGGTCAAAGGATATGAATTGGAAGTTTTTTATATCATATTTCTTTAACACCATAAAATATGCATTAGGTTTATAGCATTGTAATTTTATTTCAGAAAAACTAAGGAAGTAAAAGAATGAGGACAATGTTATCAATTTTTCTTCAAAATCAGTCTTATGTTATACTATAAATGGGTTATGATGACATGATAACATGGTTAAATAAAATCAAAAGTATTCCCTAAAAGGTGAAATTACATTTGCAAAAACAAAGTTATCCCTAGTGACCCCACTATCCACATCTAAATTCCTGCAAAATAAAGGAGAAAAAAATACAGCATAACAGCATTCATAGGATCCAGATGTCTTTGAACATATGGTGAATTCATGCTCAAATATATGATTTTACATTTCATATAAATGTGTTCAATCAAAAAACCCTGTAATGTTTAATTTTAATTACCTGAAACATCCTGCAAGATTTTTATAATATCTAGTTTTTCCAGTTGAAAAGTTTCACTATATTTTCATATTGGTTTGCAAATGCCTTTTATTACATTTACTTGAGCCAATTCAATCAGTAGTTTCCAAAGGAAATTCTTCACTTCAGGAGTAGTCTTTACTGAATAAAAAAAAAAGTGTCTTGGAATTAAATAAATGGAATGTTTAGCTTTACTCCAACAACAGTAATAATAGACTATACTGCTCTCTTTGAAGAAGTGTATTAACTAGTTAAGGCCACCAAGGGGTCATTTAAATAAAGATAATTTACTAACCAGGAGAGTAGTATACAGAAAACAATGGATGATATGCTATCTAACCACTTGAGGAGGTGATAGTAAGAGAAAGAAAGCACAGTACATATAACTGAACTTCCCAAGGAGATTTCCAGGTCCCTAGGTAAAAGGAAAACTATTCATTTTCAGAGATGATATATACTAAATTTCATAATCCCTCTCTCAGACTTGAAACTTCCTTCAATACTTTCCTTTGCAGTGGTCCCATACTGCTTTACATCATTTGTGTAAACAATTTTCCTCTCTTTTGGATTATAGGCTCCTGATAATACCAATAATACCAATAATAACACATTTCATTGTGTTTCGTAGTTCAAAATATCTCTGGGGAGTAGGTTCACAAATCATTATGTGCATTTTATGGATAAAGAAAGTGAGACTCAGAGGAGTTAAGTGACTTGCCTGGGTCACAGAGTTCAAGTGTGACCCTAGATATCATCCTATCTTATACACGAAACTCTGTACAGCCTTATTATAGCTAGTGTCTTAGACTAATGTTGGTTATTATTTAACTGCTTCTGGCAGATGTATGGTATATGTTGCAAACACAGAATTTTTTTAAACAATATCAAGGACCAGGAGGTTAGTGTTAGACATAATTAGAATTCAGGAAACATTCTCCAAATGCTCCTTGCAATTTCAAGTCTAACACAGAAAGATGGTGACTTGTTGGCAGTTACATACAGTGTAAAAAACAATGTTACTAGATTAGGAAAATAGCTTGAGCCTCCAGTAATTACACACACACACACACACACACACACACACATACACACACACACACACACACACACAATTAATTTTAGAGGTACTGAAGCAAATGAGTTTAGTTAGATAAAATCTAGCATAGTTTCCATTCTCAGAGCTTTTTCTAATTCTTCAGGGTCTTTGCAACCAGTAAAGAAATATATTTGTATCCAATGAAGAACTGTTTATTAGACCTTAATTAAAGTCCAGATCTCTATTGATTCTAAGTCTAAAACTGCATCTTATTTTATCTTGGCAAATCCAGTACCTAGCACAGAACCATACCTATAGTAGATGCTTATAAATATAAATATATATATATACATATATATATATATATATATACATATATATATATATACATATATATATATATATATATATGAGCATTTATATACTCATTGAAAAAAATTAGCATAGTCTGGTTTTCTTTTTTTAAGGGAAAAGTTGTTTGGTTAATGTGAATAGAAATACCCATCTGCCCTACCTCATATCCATTAGAAAGACTTTTTTCCAGGAGGAGGAAACAAAGGAGGAGCAGGAGGAAAAGAAAGAGGAGGGGGAGAGAGTGAGGAGGAGGAAAAGAAGCAGAAGAGAAAAAGGAGAAGGAAGGCAGGGGCTATAGACCAGGGTGTCAAACTTGAATGCAGCCTGTAAAGCTCCCATGTGCAGCCTGAACTACGTTAAAACATAATTAGGAAATGTTTAACAAAATAAATAAAAATAGAAGATAGATAATATTAATTTGTGATTTTCTAAGTCACTATACTGCCTGTGGAGATCCATTTCTATTTGAGTTTGAAATTACTGATGTTTTCTTTGTGAAGTTCAAAGGCGGTGAGAGCTTATTGGTTTCAAGTTAAGGAACCTTAGAGATCATCTAATCCAGCCCCTTCATTTTATAAAGAAAGAATCTGAAGTCGAGGAAGAAATTTGCTTTCCCAAGGTCACACTGGTTGTAAATAGCAGAGCCTGAATCTGAAACTAGAAGCTCTGAGTTCCAAGAGATGACTCCAAATACAATGCTTTTCCCACAAAGGTCCCCTGAACCAGTAATTCTCAAAATGTGATTTATAGAGATCCTTTCAGCAGATCTCTTATATTTAATGAGACCACAGAGTCTATACTTTTTTCTCCTTATGGCTTGAATTTGAAAGTTGTGTATGTCATGAATTAGAACCAGACGCTACCTCATTAGTGTCTTGTTAAAAAGTGGTGCCAATTTCCTCATTCATTTTGGAGAAGGTTTATTTCAGTGTCAAGAGGGACCAGGTGGGGTAAGTGATCTAAGAGGCCTTCCTTCCCAGCATGGTCTCTGGGCTAGAGGAGTCAGAAAAGCTGCTGTCCTATGTTCTGGGGCTCTAGTGGTCTCCATGCTCCTGGAAACCAGCAATCAGCAAACAGCCATCGAAGCTTCTTCCCTTCATGACTCTGCTGGTAGTGCAGTGTGTCAGTCAGGGTGTTTCTCTTGTGACAGAGTTGTTATTGTTCTCATTTTTGTGCCAGTTGTTTAGTGTTGGAGGTAGGTTTGTACCGAACCAGGCACATTCCCTCCCAGTGAACTCTCATTTTGTAAGAAGTTTGACCTGGATAACAGACACAGCCCAGAGACCGGGTAGCAGAGTTTCATTCTGAATAAAAATGTTACTGACCTGGATGGAGACCATAACATTTAGAGCCAGAAGGAGTAACCAGAGAGTGTGCAAAATGTGGAGATGGAGCATACCTAAGGCCACTTCTAACTCAAAATCCTACTAATTTATAAGGCCTGGGGATATTAAATGACTGGCCCAAAGTCATGCAGTTAGTAGTAGTAGTAAGTAACAGAACCAGGATTTATGTTTTGGGACCTTGTCTCCCTTTAGGAAGCAGTATGGTCCATGAAAAAATGCTGCATTTGGCGTCAGAGGGCCTGGGTTCAAATCCCATGGCTCTGCCTTGTTAACCTAGGGCAAATCACTTCACTTCTGGGTGGAATTATAAAATGAAGGGATTGGATTAAAATCTGGAGATGTTTGCCCTCACTGAGGGCAAAACTCTGCACTGGCGGGATTAAAAACAAGCAGATTAAAATGTGATTGGGAAATGTTTGACAAAATAAATAAAAATACAATACAACCTAACTAATGTTAATTTCTAGTTTTCTAAGTCAAAATGCTGCTGAAAGGGATCCATTTCTGTTTGAGTTTGACACCACCAAACTGGATGATCTCTAAGGTCACTTCTAGCTTTAAATCTATGACTCTATTACTGCAAATCCAGGGTTCTTTCCATCAGTTTTGAGTCATCAGACTCATTATCTGAGCCTCATAAGTACCATTCTGTATCCAATTGTACTACCTGCCCAACCCATCACATATCTTATGACAGTAACATACTCAGGTTTTTTTCACAATACATGGCATAGTGAATAGAGTGCTAGACTTGGAGACAAGACCTGGGTATGAATCCTGCCTTAGACACTACTTGGGTGATCCTTGGTCAGTCACTTAATTTCTATGAGTCTCAGTTTTCTCATCTGTAAAACAGAAAAATAGCCCTTTCCTTACAGGTTTGTTGTATCAAATGAGACAATGTATGCAAATGCAAAACATTTTACAAATCTTAACATGTTATAAAAATTTTTGGTCAATCATTTTTCAGTCATGTCTGATTCATCGTGACCTCATTTGGGGGGCTTTCTTAACAAAGGTACTGGAGTGGTTGGCCATTTCCTTCTCCAGCTCATTTTACAGATGAGGAAACTGAGGCAAACAAGGTTAAGTGACTTTCCAGGGTCACAAAGCTAGTAACTGTCTGAGGCCAGTTTTGAACTCAGGAAGATGAGTCTTCCTAACTCCACAGTTGGCACTCTATTCACTGTGCCACCTAGCCCATTATAAAAAATACCAGACATTATTATTGTTACCTTCATTAATATCATGGCCAAGGAGGGGGGGGGGAAGCATCCTATAAAATTATACTCTCACGCCTATGGAGCATCTCATTAGTTCAGGTCTCTTCAGAATAAAGTGGTGAGAAACTTTGTCACCTGTTTTTCTGTTTTCTTTTCAGATTATCAAAGAGCCTCCTCCACCCCCAGCAGAGGAAAATGATGTAAGTATGGCAAGAATGATCACACCTTTCTTGAGGAGTGTTTCACTAGTTCTACAAAGCCAAATAGAATGGGCCAGAGGTCTAATTAGGTCTGTCTATTCAAGGAAATTCAATGCCTTGGTGAAGGCCATGTGGACCAGAATTATGAGGAAGTAAAATTTCTTTGTACTCTTTTAACCATATAGTAAGACAGAAGTTGAATCAGCCATTCACCTGTATGAAATCATTACTCTATTACTCTATAATTACACTAAAGTCATTATTCAAAATTAGTTTTTTAAAAATATTTTTGAGGTTTTCCTTAAAAAGCTACAAAACTGGTGATGACTGATTTCAACTATCTGTGATTTCATATACGTGGTTATGCTCTCCACCGATACTGATAGCAACCCCTTAGTAGCTAGTTTTAATAAGTTGTTGTGGTTTAAAAAAAATCATCAACTCATGGCAAACTTTTAGGCACTGAACCACCAGCATTTGGATGAAAGACAGAAAGTCTACCACATGACTTCTACTCAGAATTCCTCCATCAGGGTAGAACTTTCCAGAGTTTGTATGACATTGGTATGGCCTCTGAGGTCCCTTTCAGTTCTATGATCCGATGAGAACCTTCAAGAACCCAGGGCCACTCTCATTCCGTAATATAATAGCAGAGGAGCTATTTGTTCAAAGGTTGTTTTAATGTCACTTTTATTGTGCCTGTCATTTTTAAAGAGAAAATTATATCTACTCATTGTCTCTCACAGGATGAAATTTTATGTATGGAATTACTATTTGGGAGGAGGCAGGAGAAGGGGGAAGCTATCATATGACCTAGAAACCTCCTAGTTTTAGAAATTTGGGTTTTTTTTTTATTTTAGACTCGAATACAAATACAGAATAGAGAAAAGGAAAAAAAACACATCAGAAACTTAAATATTGAAGCTTAAATACAAAGTAAGAAAAGGAAAAAATGCATGTCATGTGCATAGCAGAACGTAAGAGAGGATTCAAAATATGTAGCAATAAATTTTCATTTCAAGAAAGCCATTATGATAAATACTACACATTGGATTGAGAGCTGTCCATCTTTTCTTTGCCTCCTTGTAAGTTGTCTTTTGTTCTCTGCCATGCACTTTTTACTTTGTTCTTTTTTCCCCCTTCCTTCCCCCAGCCCAGAAGGCTAGAATTAAGTATGGATTATATTTATATATAGATATATACATACACATGTACATATATACACATATATACGTACATATGTATGTACATATATAGACATATACTCTCCCTAACAAATTCTACTCCTGCTCCTTGTTTTTGTGTTTGTGCATATATCTTATTTCCTATCCCTCCTGACTCCTCTACTTCTACTACTCTGTTACTACTAGTTGATTCTTCTACTAGTTTTAGAATCTTGAAATGTGCCAGTGCCTGATTCTTCCTTTAAAGTAATAATATTAAAAATCTGCATAGTATAGTGATGAGTACACATAAAAGAGATGGCTTGGGACCTATCCATGTTTTCAAGTCTTCCTCAAATAGAAAAATATAGATAAAGTGCTTTGCAAATATCAAATGCTCAAATGGATCTGTGATCTCATAGAGTCAGTCATTTGCTCCAACAATTCAAAACCTAACCCATCCACACGTGCCACTCCATACAATTTTCATCCAAGGTCTACCAAAAGTTCACCATAGAGTATGCCCATCCCCATTCTCTTTGGCCACTGTAAGGTGATCAGTACAGAACTCTGGCTGTCCCCCTGTCATCCCTCTTGCTCCATAACCAACCCCTCTTCTCCTCCTGTCATGCAAACCTTGGATAATATCCTTTACCTCAAGTTCTTCTTAAAGTTCTTTGTTGGTCTTTTTTTTTTCTCACTGTCTGCTTATACCTCCCATGTAACTTTCTGTTGCCTCTGTGAGATACTCATGTTTTGTTCTTCAGAAGCAATGATATTCTGTACTCCTTGCCAGAAAACAACACTGGTAAAATGTTAGTATTGAAAAGATAGGTCTTTGTTTTCATGGGAAGCTTTGGTCAGAGAAAGAGCTTTACAATTTCCTTAAAGGTGTCCTCCTCCTTTACAACTGGGCCCAGCTGATTTTCCATTTGTATTGTCTTTTCCACATATGCATACTATTGGATTACCCAATTCAATTGCACGTTGAAATCTAAGTGATAAAAATGCACTTGATCAATTAATCAATAAACATTTACTAAGTACCTATTTTGTGCCAGGCATTGTTATCTTTTTAGTGCCAGTAAACAAGCTGGACTCCTTTGAGTGATTACAGAGTTCTAGAAGGCTTTGCCAAGTCTTGGGAATTGATAACGATCAACACGATATCATCTACCAAAAAAGGGTCAGTGAATAAGCATTGTTAAGTACTTCATGTCAGACACTGTGCTGTGTGGCAGGAATATAAAAAAAGGCAAAAGACAGTCCCTGCGCTCCGGGAGTTCAAAGTCTTCATGAGGGAACTACAAGCAAACAAGTATGCACTAACAAGCCACGTGCAGGATAAATCGTAAATTATCAACAGAGGAAAGACCCTAGAACTGAGAGATTGGGAAATGCTTCCTGCAGAAGGTAGGATGTTAGCTAGGACTTAAGGATGCCAGGGAAGCTCATGGGCAGAGATAAGGAGGAGGGGCAATTCTCATATGGGGAATGTGGGATAGCCAGCGAATATATCCTAAGCTAAAGGATAGAGTGTCTCGTTCAAGCAACAGCAAGAGGCTAGTGTCCCTGGATCCCAGAGTACATGGGGCACAGGTGTCTAAGGAGAAAGCAGACTGGAAAGGTGAAAGGGATTAGATTATGAAGGACTTTTAACACTAAGTTGTTGTTCATTCATTTCAGTCGTGTTCAACTCTTTGTGACCCCATTTGGGGTTTTCTTGGCAAAGATATTGGAGTAAATTGCCATTTCTTTCTCATTCGACAGGTGAGGAACTGAGGCAAACAGAGTTAAGTGACTTGCCCAGATTAACACAGCTAGTAAGTGTCTGAGACTGGATTTGAGCTAAAGAAGACAAGTCTTCCTGACTCCAGGCCTAGTACTCTATCCACTGTACCACCTAGCCACCCTCAAACACTAAACAAAAGATTTTATATTTAAACATGCAGGTGACAAGGAATCAGTAGAATTTCTTAAGTGGGGATGGTGATCATGATCAGATCTGTACTTTGAGAAAGTCACTTTGGAGGCTGAATGGAGAGAGGACTAGAGTAGCGAGAGATTTATATAAAGCAGGCCAATAAGTAGGCTATTACAATAGTCTAGATGTGAAGAGATGAGGACCTACTTTGAGGTAGTGGCAATGTCAGACAAGAAAATAGATATTTTTGAGAGACATTATAAAGGTGAAATCAACAGGCTTTGTCAATAGATTGGTGTGGTGGTGAGAAATACTGAGGAGTTGAGGATTCAAGCCTGGGATATGAGGAAAATGGTGGTACCCTCAACATTAATTGGAAAGTTTGGAAGGTGGTGAAAGTCAAGGGGGAAAGATAATGAGTTAAGTTTTGAATGTTTGGAGTTTAAGATGTCTCTAAGTGGGGCAGTGGATAGAGCGCCAGGCCTGGAGTTAGGAAGACTCATCTTCCCAAGGTCAAATCTGGCCTCAGACACTGACTAGCTATGTGACCCTGGTCAAGTCATTTAACCCTGTTTGCATCAGTTTCTTCATCTGTAAAATAAGCTGGAGAAGGAAATGGCAAACCATTCTAGTATCTTTGCCACGAAAATCCCAAATAAAGTTCATGAAGAGTTGCACTTGACTTAAAATGACTGAACAACAACAGGAAATCCAGTTCAAGATGCTTAATAGGCACTTGGAGATGAGAAACTAGAGGTTGACAAAGAGATTAGGTCAGGATAAGCAGATCTGAGAACTGTCAGGAAAGAGACGATGATTGAATTCATGGGAACTGATGAGGTCACTCAGTGAAATAGTATAGAGAAAAAAGAGAAGGCTTTGTGGAAAAGCCCCTGTTAGTGAGCATGATCTGGATGAATATCCAGCAAAGGAAATTGAGAAAGAAGAGTCAGACTAGGCAGGAAGAGAACTAGGAAAGAGCAGTGTCCCAAAAAACCTAGAGAGAAGAGGGTACCAAGGACAAGCATATCTGAAGAATCCTGGGAAATCCCCAGCAAATCCCTCCTCAACCTGGACTCTATGCTGGATCTTCTCCACCACAATATTGAGTACTTTTGGCAAGCACAAATCTTCCAGTTTTGTGCATCACTTAATGCTTATTTAGAGGATCACAGAACAGGGTTATGTCTATCGTTACATATGCAAGGGTATTGAGTGATCTTCATTCATGAATGGGAGACACCTTACTGTAAAAGATCCTGTAAGTCAGCATTTTGTTCTATCAAATCTAATGCTTTTTACAGGAAACAAACAATACGTACAATGATGCCATATATTCTTCACATCTTTAAGTTAATTGTAAGATGATAAGGATGTGTTCCCTACTAACATCCTCCTAAAGAATGACCTCATTTTATGTATATATACTCATATAAAGATTTTGTATAGATGGAGGAGTAAGCATATAGGTTGATAGTCCTTAGTGATTTCTTGGTCAGCTTTTTTGGTGTGGATCAGGTCTGAGATTTTTTTCATGCCTTTAAATATTCCCTCTCCTTTGTGTAATCATTATTTTGGTCACTCAGCCCCCTCGCAACTGTATCATATCCAGCATGGATCTCCTTTACATGGACTTGGTTCAAGCCAATTACTTTTCTGATCTTTGTTTTCTTTTGTGCCATTTCTACATCCTCTGCAAACACCTGAGGGACTATGATGTTAGAATTCAGATTTGGTGATTCCGCTATCCTTAATGAGGGAAACAGTTTTTGCATATCGTTTTCATTTTTCTTTTGTTATAGATTTTCCATTTTCATCCTCAAATGCTCGAGATAACTTTGTTTCTCTCACAAGTTAGCTCACAAAGTTTTCTTTAAACTAATTTTACCATCTACTACTTCTCTCTGCCTCAT